TCCATGAGCTCAAGAGTGTGGTCAGAGAATTTTCCGGTTCTAGGAGCACGGCGGGTCCTGAAAAATTTCGACCCAACCGTGTGTACAGTTTCCACAAACTTGTTGTTCATATCGTTCGCCGTTTCGCACTCGTCTAGGCATTGGAAGCGATTTTGGAGTTCGAGTCGAAAGCTCTCGGGATTTTCGTACTCGGCAGGTGTGAGACGTAGAGTAGACTTCATCAGTCGGGACCGCTCGGCTTTGACACGAATATTCAATGTGCCTCGCAACATTCGGTAATCGCTCCCGGTTTTCACCCTGTTGATCACTGAGACATCATTGAATATTTGCCGTTTGTCTGACAAGATAAAGTCTATCTCGTTCCGTGTCGAACCATTAGGGCTTATCCAGGTCCATTTCCTTTGTTGCGACTCTGTATACTGAATCTAAATTCCTTGAATTCAGGAAACTAAGTTGCTTCTTATGTATCGAGAATATCTGCGACCATGGCAATAAACATTCGCATCATCCGTCGAAAATTTGAAAATGATTCCACCCAGCAAGTAATTTCATGTTTCGCAGGACATTTCGTTCAATTTTTCAAACAGTGTCCTCAACCATCTACTTCTCGGCTACTTCAAATACGCAAAAATGTTGTAACACTTGCAGAAGTAAGAAATCCCTGAGCAAATCAAACCTTTGTTAAAAACAACGAAAATGAGTGAACACGAACAAGAATTTCTTCATTTTATTGGTGACATGTCTCTTCAAAAGAAATAAAAAAACATTGGGGATATAATACAAACTATTATTATGATAAGAGATAGGTTGTTATAATAAAAAAAAATATTGATAGCTGGTATAAGTACTTTAATTAAGAAAAAAATGTAGAAAAGCCGCTGTTTTTACAATGTACGGGTTTAATTGAGTTTATTTAGACGTCCGAAACCGCCAGTTACTATTAACTCGGGGTTTTGAAAAATTTATAAATCGACCCATGTCAAGTATTCACCTATAGCTAGAGCAAAAAGAAGAAAACTCATCTAGATTGATCCTTATTTATTAACATAGGAACGAAAAACAGAATTTCGTATTGTCATGCTGTTTCTATTATGATTTCATGATGTAACGGCTTACTTGGCATTATGCCATCAAAAGTTGAGGTGAGGAGAGGAATAGAATATATATTTACCTAGGCGTATCAGAGAAAGATAATAATAATAATCTTTATTTTTTTTCCACAATCTACAAAACACATGAAAACTTATTATAACATAATTTTATATGAGAACAGTAAAGTAGATTATGGGAGACTGGTGTCTGAAATAGGCAGTACGACTGTATCTCAGAGCAGCAGGACTCACTCTTTTGGAAAATGAACAGTGAACAGATATCGATTAGTTATGTACAATACCTTAGGTACTTTCTTTGTTTTACTTTCATTACATTATATTATTTTTTCTACCTCTGGAACTGATGAAGAAAACCACAGATTGTCATTGCTATTTCGCAATAATAAATATATTTCAGGGAAGGCGATAAGATGTATTGAATAACTATGAGACTGAGGCAGAAATTTGAATACATATGGGTAGCCCTCTGAATTTCCGATTAAAATGAAAGTCTGAAGATCTGATGATAAAGCCGGAAGGTCGGCACCGGAACCCCGTAATGAAACAATGTATCCTAGACATATTTTAGGACTTTGTATTATGTAATATCCCGCGTTCAAAATGTCCTATCTACTCGAGTCGAATATGACCTTGATGGTCAGAAGACAGATTTTTTAGCTTCGTTATTTCTAACAAGATACCTCGTGTTACTAAGCTGATTTGCTGACTCTCCATAAATATAGACACAAATTCTACTTAAGTAGGTATTAAATTGAGCCACACAATACAGTACCTACAAGTTGAGCTTATACTAAAACATTGCATGCACTGTACATTTAAAACTATCTTTCCTAATAATCGATTAGGTACCTACGATTAAATATTACTATGTACTTAATGCCAAAATTTAAAGCAAGACTTTAAGATCATTTAAATAAGTTATGATACTTAAATTAAAATGAATGTGATAACTTTGGCTCGCTCCAAGGAATAGAATAAGATTTCGGTTTGAAACCTCTTTAAAACAGGGTTAGAAATTTTAGGAAGATGTTGAGAGGAATATTTGGAAAACTGGTTTTGTAAGAATTTATATCCCCTCTTATGAGGTTTTTGTCTTATTGTGTAAATAAATTTGGTAAATACAGTGAGTACTTTATGAATTTTTGTTATTGCTTATTAAATTGAACAATTACTCCAGTGATTTTTTTCTATTATTCGTATTTTAATTAAGGCCCGTATTAATAAATCGCTCTCATGTCTGAGAGCGATCTTGAGATGCTGTTTTGAATGAAAACAGTATCTCAAGAGTCTCACAGTTGTAGCGATCTATTTATACGGGCCTAAGATTTATTTTCATGATTATAATAGTTACTAATTCGAATTGTTATTACAAATGAATTTATTGTCTTGAATATAAATAGGAAAAAAGTTATAAATGCGAACTTACTTCGGTTAACATGAAACCTTCCAGTGTATATGTTAAGTAACAGGAAGAACGAAGAATATAAGTTTAATAAGTACATAGATTGTGTGTGTGAAAGTTGTAAGAGTTAACTGCTGCCTGATCGAAAAGTATTTAGGTATAGGCAGGTTGTTAGATAAAGTTCAAAACATTTCTACCTACTTCAAAAAACTCGTGTAAACACACTATGTTTACACATGTTACAGTCACTATAACATAAAAAAATATATTATATAACAAAAATTATTGATCTGCTCTTTTTGATGAGATGTAGTCAAGTTGTAGTAGTACTAAGTTAAGTTTGACTGTTGGTCAATTTCACCTCAAATTCATAGTAGAAAGTGTAATAAAGTTTTTAAAAATGGTTACTTTTTCTAATGTTTTTTAACATTAATCACATTTAACTATGTATGGAACAACGCAGCCTGTGAAGTAAGGGAAGTAATTAAGTTAACTAATTAAGCAACCAAAGGATTTAATAACACCGTGCGAGTATCAATAAAACACTGATTCTCTCTGCAGAAGTATTCACGCTGGTTTTAGCATTGGCATCTTAGTCTTTCGTTTGGTTTCCGGTAAAGTTAATGTACAGATCAAACATTCTTAGAATTCTCTTCTGCGCCATCATTGGATTATTGTATTCACACAACATCATTAACCACCTAAGCAATTAGTTAATAACTATGTACTGTAAAAGTAACTACTTACTTTGACAGTAATTGAATGAGTACCTACCTACCTACATACTTAGAAATTATCCTAATCTTTCTTTGAATAAAGTAAATATCTTACTGAAAGATAATAAATTATAATAAAAACCAATCTGTGATGTCTGTGATTTTTGATTGAGCTTCGAAACAAGAAATAAACAGATTTTTATATCTTCGATTCTTCGCTGACAGGGAGGATGGTCTGAACTTGCTGTCGGTTAGGAATGAAGCTCCTTCAACAAAAAAATAAAATTGTCTTCGTTATTCATTAATTGTGCAGATATTAATATAGGTACCTATTATAAATATATCCAAGTGCACCTTGCAACTTTCTACATACCTTTAAACGACCATATCACAGAGTATAATACTGCAACGTCCGTATATATATATATTCCGAAAGACATGATGAACGGCATAAAATAAAATAATGCATATTTTTTTAGTTACAAAATAGTTGTACTGGTAAATGAATGTAAATATATTATTATTAGCTATTAAGAGCACTTTACTACTCTTATGTTTATAATGCACTAATATACGTTTTGAATTGTCTTCAGTATTAAGTGATGACATCTATGTACTTATTTGGTATTGAGAAATAAATTGGTCTTTTTATAGAACTTAAGTTGTTTTCTTTCCTCTTATGCCTTCTAAGAACCTAATCTTTTTTCTATGGGATGACGAATTATTTTCGTTAGTAGGTATGGTAGGTATTATAGAATACGACGATAAAGGCCGAAATTCGTGATATTATATTAAATAAATTTTTGGCGCTTTTAAATCTAGTGCATTATGAGTGAGGATTACTCCTCACCTGACATGTGATAGAAGTTCCTAATATGGCATATGGAAGACAAAGAAACGTGTCATACCCTTAGCACGAAGACTATTAGATGCACGAACCAATATCGAATTCAATCTCGACACGCGTCCAATGTCAAGAAGTCTTGTATGGGAGAATTTTAATTCTCGATATGTCCATTATGGCGCTGTTCAAACCCAACAAAAACTCTTGATATTTTGACGCATATCGAGATCGAATTCGATATTGGTTCGTGCTAAGGTTAACGGTATCTAGACAATGGCTGGGAACCAACCTCGCCTCGCCGTGTGTAATCATTACAGCTGTGCTATCGTTTGGCTTCAACTCTTTGTCTATAGCAAGGCGCCCTGACAGAGACTTTGAATCATTAAAGAAACTCAATACTACAGAATAAATAGTATTATTTGGCTACTCTTGTAAGGTGGCCCTTTGCCACGTCAATATTATATTAGTATAGGTACTTCATTTAACACGTGGCTTTGTACCGTGGGTTCTCAGCGGTTTGGGGAAATTTATGATATGAGATAAAGTCACTTTTAGCCCGTCTAATACTTTAACGTTAAGATTACAATAACAATAGGGCACATATTTAAATGATTAAAAAAAAGAATAGGTAGGTACCTATTTGATCCTTAAAAAAATACAAATGGTAACCTAAACGTTCGGTAGCCAATTAATTATTTTTTTGGTGATCATTTATTATTTTCTTCAGAATTATTTAAAATTTTCCCTTATTATTCTTAATCGGTTATGAATCTTCTTCTCATTTTGAGTTTTGGGTAAATAGACCTGTGACTGACAATGTATAGAGCCAGGGTAAAAATTATAAGGGAATAGCCAAATAATGTCATAGTCTTCTAAAACTACAACAGGTGTAAATAGATTAAGTATTAAAATAACAAGACAATGTAAAAAGCTTAGTCTAGTTTTTATTTGTCGATTTAACATACAGATGTAAGGCATCCTCCCACCTCGTGTTATTGGCACACAAAACCACCATATACATCCGACTTATGAACGTTCATATGAGCATAAAACACTTCGTACTATAAACAATATGGAATGTAAGGTTCACATTAAAAAACATACAATCATGGAATGCCCAAATGGTATCGTTTATATATTTTTTTAAAACAATCGTTATAAGACGTTCGGCAGTCGTTCGAATACTAGCCAGGTATATAATAATTAAATAAAAATTTCAAGACTAGAGTTTTCATTTTAAGTAATCGCGCCGTGAATCTCGATGCATAAGTATTTACAAAATTGTTACAATCCATTGACTCGAGATACATACGTTTTGTGACTCAGGTTCTGAAACTTATTTAGAGATTCTTATAATAATTTGGTTGGGATTTTGGTTTGCACTAAAACAACAAGATTGGGAACATAGTTCAAAGTAACATTCACATTAATGTAAAACACTGGATATTGGCACTGACACAAGCTAACTTAACAAATTATATACTACACATACATACAATATTAAAGAGTAGGTATATACTTTTTTTTCATATAACATACAATTTAGGACTTCATTTAGAAATAGTAAATCTCAAATACTGTGAGAAATACTGTTAATTCACGACGGTTCTCATAAATAATATAACAACAAAAATAAATTATTGGACGCAAATGATTCCGCTTATTGCACAAGAAATTTGTTGGAAATATAAAAAAGAAAAAAAAAATACATTATATCATACTGGCCTCATACAATAACAAAAAAATAAATTTATGATTTGACTCCAAAACCGCTTTTCTATGTCGTAATCTCAAATACCACTCCAGCAAACATTAGGCACTGGTTTTCAGCTACATAATATCAAAGCTAATTTTTATAATTAAATTTCCGATATAGGTCTTACGTTAATAATTACGCTAAACGTGAGATAATTTTTAAATATTCACCCATTTTCAAATAGGCCTTTATAAATTAAATAAATTATTGAGTAAAAATCAATCCAGTGTTTTGAGTATGAGAGCGAAATATCAAATAGAATATCATTAGCTGGATATGCAATTTCATTTTATTTCAGCAAACTTGTAGAAGATACTTCACTGTGGGATACAAAAGCTGTTCATTCTAAATCTAACTATAGTTACTGATATTTTAGTAAAAAATATCTAACATTTGATCTTTATTTGTACAAAATGCATACAACACATTATTTACTGGATATATATATATAATATATTCAACGGTTAGTTTAAATATACACGATATATTATCTACGTCGAAGTTAAAAATAATTTTATGTCGAGCGCAATCGTTCATAAAACATTCTTAGAAATATCTTTGTACTATTTATAATTTAACAAAATAAAAATAAACAAATATTAATTTCAATGGTTTTAACAAAAATAAATGCTGAGTATAATATAAAAAATAAGCTTTCGTAGTTGTTTGCAATATTTACATTTTGTACAAGGCATTAAGCGTTTGGTGCCTGGTTAAAAATTACATACATCGGGGTGTACAAAATTCTTCTACACGTTACATGATCGAAAAGTGTCCTGATTATGAGATGAATAAAGATGATTTTCGAGTAAACTAACAATATCATACATTGGCATAAATAAAAGAATATCTTTAAGAGTTAGTTAGCTAGCTACATACAGGCACTGTATTGTCTGTCGACGTTGTATCACTCAATGCAATCCCCGATCGACTCGCATGAAATACGTCACTATTTAATATACATAATGTACAATGAGACTACACAAATTTATTTAAATAATGAACACAATAATTGCATTTATACATAGCTTATTGCAGTTCTTTCGCGCCAATGAACGGGAATATGGCCATTACATTTTACGTGGACACAGGGGAGGTTAAACCGTATGCCACAGCTTGATCACGATGATAATTATCGAATAAAAGAGTCAACATTTAACACGTGTAAGAGGGCTAGAACTGCCTACGCGAATGCCTATAAAATCTCACTCTTACGTTTCGAAAAGATGAAATTCACCAAAATTCTCAAAAAAGCTGAAGCGTTCCACGCACTACCTTCAAGCGTATTAATTATATACACAACAGTCCCGCTTTGGAATAATTCATTCAAACCAGGTAGTCGTCGAACTTTTTTAGCCTTCGCTACGACTGTCGAGAGGGTCTGCGTTCTGGGACCGTTCCTTCCATAGTTTCTGGGCTGAATCTGACTCGAGATTGTGATCCACTGGAAGCGTCTCTAGCGGAAACGTACGAACTATCGGTCTCGCTCGTTAAACTGTCGGGGGGAGTCGGATTTGTGGGCGTTCCCCCTCCAGAACTACCTCCTGAGGCACTGCACTTCTTATTGTACTTTTTCAAACTAGATCTTAGCTTTGTAGGTGCTAATTCTAAGCTCAAATTAGCCGGTCGTTCGACTTCGCTTCTATCTTGAGACTCTTGACGGTAGAAATCTCTCGGTAAAGAATAATCACTGGTCTTTCTAGGGTACTCCGCTTTCGCCGCTCGGAAGTCGTCGCGCCTTTCTTTAGTGGAATATTTCTCCGGCCTGTACTGTCTTGAAGGAGAAAACTCTTCGGGGTGGGAGTTTGTCGCCGAAGAATTCGACGGAGTTCTTCTATGAGTGAGGTATTGCGTGGTCGATGGTCTGAAATCCGACGTTGGATCTCTTGAATATTCGAAGGAGCATTCATCGTAGCCGTAGTAGGGGTGTTTTACCACATAATCGGCTGTCCTGTCGTAAGTGTAAGGTTCCCCGCGGTAGTAATAATCTCTGTCTTGGGAGGGTGAAGGTTGGAAGTTTTCTCTGTAGTTGTGGTAAAGATCTGCTAAGTGGTCAGATGTGGATGAAGAAGTTCTTCTTGGTGAAGGCGTAGGTTGTGTGGAGGTGTAGTTTGTTCCTAACCCTGAGGTTCCTGAAAGAGGCTGTACTGAATGGCCGTAGCCTGATGATGATGAAGGATGGGCGTAATGTGTGGGTGAATCTGTGAAACGCATCGGCTTCTGTTCTTCCGCTTGGAGGCTTGAGATCTGTAATAGAGATTTGAATATACAGTCGTGGTCAACTAATTAGGGACTTTCAAGATAGTGAAGAGCAATAACCGGTTATGTACATATAAATATAAAACCCTATTCATTTCTCAGCACCTATTATTTGCATAATTTGGTCCGATTATTATGCTATAAATGGCTGTAAATAAAAGAATAAATAAATAGAAAAAAGTATTTAATATCAAAGGTTGAACATGTATTCAATTTTAAGGTATAATTCTGTAGCTGGACATTTAATTAAGGACAGTAAACTATAATGAAAAATAGAGTTAAACAAAACTAATAATATGCAGTATTATAATATCTTTAACAGCTCTATTTTATTACGTGTAAAATCAGTACCCAGTAGCAAAACCTTTGTTAGTAATTACCGCTTGACAACGATGTGGCATAGACATTATCAGTTTCTGGCATATTTCGACAGGAATGTTTGCCCATGCCACACAAAAAGCTTCATTAAGTTCATCTAAAGTTGTGGTACGATAAGTGGCAACTTTTTTCCTGATTTTGTGCCAAAGGTGCTCGATTGGGTTAAGGTCCGGGCTATTTGCTGGCCAATCTAGCACCGATACTGACTGACTGGTAAGAAACGACTTGACTGAACGAGCGGTATGTTTCGGGTCGTTATCATGCTGAAACGTCCATATAATAGGGAGATGCTCCACAGCATAGGGAAGCATCGTTTCCTCCAATATTGCCTTGTATTGATGTTGGTCTAAGTTACCCTGAACTTTCCTCACAGGTCCCACTCCATGTCCAGAAAATGAACCCCAAATTTTAATGTTTCCACCGCCATGTTTCACCTGCTTTTTTGTGAATCTTGGATTCATTTCCGCTTTTACTGGACGCCGTACGTATTGCCTTCCATCTGAAGAAATCAAATTAACCTTGGTCTCGTCAGAGAATAATATATGGTGCCATTGGGCGTAGGTCCAATGTCCATATTTACGTGTAAACGCCAAACGAGCATTTCTATGTTCTTTCTTTAACAACGGTACTTTGCGAGCCACTCTTCCGAACAACCCTGCTTCTACCAGACGTCGTCGAACGGTCCTCGCTGAGACACCAGCTCTTTCGTCTGTCCCAAACACTTCGTGTTTAATTAAAATAGAGCCTAGAAACGGATCTTTCTTAGCTAACCTGGTTATCATTCTATCTTCTTGCGGAGTTGTTTTTCTCGATCTTTTCGTTCTGGGCACATTTAAAGCTGTGTTATTACGTCTGGCATGTTGCACTGCATTGTATACCATAGTTTTTGAACAATTTAAATGTTCTGCTATCCTTCGGTATGGCCAACCATGCTCGACAACAAACTTCATGATAATTTTTCGTAGTGTTGGATCGCCACTTTTATTTTTGCCCATTTTTCTTCAAAATATTTTTCAAACCTCAAAATAAAAATCGGGATTGCCGCCAAAACTACCACGAAACAATAAGAGAAGAAGTACAAAAGTATTGAGATTCAAATTTTGAAAATAGAACGCAATATCTCATTGTCCCTAATTAAATGGCCAGCCAGCATTATTTGAACAAATAGCACTATGATAATCTATCAGCTATACTGTAAAGAGGTTTAATGATTAAGAAGTTGTTATTGTTTATATAATCGGGCACATCAATGACTAATTATACTACATGTAAAAGATATGGAATATTTTAAAACTCGTTGAAAAAAAATAAAAAAAATCACAATTTGGCTAAACTAGAGATTGTCCCTAATTAGTTGACCACGACTGTATATGTGCTTGGTCTTTTTTGGATGCACATTGGAGTCGATCTGGGTCTATTAAGTCCTTTTTCCCTTGGATTTATCGCAGAATCCATACTAATATTATATATGCCTAAAAACCTCTTGACGCCTAAACTACTAAAGCGAATGAGATGTTTGGTAAAGTGATAGTTTGAGTCCCGGAAAAGGACAGGATGTTTGTAAGAGTTTTTATCCCAAAATTCATCCTTAATAGGGGTAAAAGAAGGTGGAGGGGCAAATGTTTGTATGGGAAACCAAATAGACCACACCGATTAAGTCGCGGGCAACCATAAGTGATATTATAAATCACATTATTGTGGTAATATACCACGCTACGGCCATCATGCTCAGGGAGTTGATGGATGCATATCCGATGGAAGTACAGTCAATATCATATATCGATACCTTGTGGTCTGAGAGTAAACCCAGTAGAGGCAAAAACCATTTAGTCTTGTTTTAAATGTTTTTCATGTAAAAAATCAATAATTCATAAATTTGGTTTTTGGCTCTCTATTGTAAAATTGACTTTCCTCGTACACGCTATTTGATCCCCATTTCAACGTGTGGATTTCTCCTTTTTACTTAGTGTTTTTTTTATGTTAAATGGGTGACAAACAAGCATATTACTCGCCTGATGGTAAGTGACCACCAGTGCCGGCGCTAGGCGTCGGCGACGACGGCCACCGCCGACGGCCTCGCGCCTGAGGGGGCCTCGCAAAAAATTTTTACAAGTTACCTATTTATTTTCGTTTCTCCTAGCCTGGCTTAGGTAGCCGACCCCGAACAATTCGGGGAAAAGCTAAGCAGATGATAAGGACTTTTATTATTTTCGAACACGTGCGTGATGGAAGCGAGTAGTACTTTACGGGTATTCAGAATCGTCTGTCTGACAACACTATTTTTGTAATTAAATTTCTATGTTTGTAATTATTTTTTGTCATCATTTGATTATCAACAATAAAAATCGTTTACTCATACGTTATTTTATAATTTGGCTCACTTAATTTAACGGTTCTTTACTGCGAATTAAAATAGGCCTCGCGAACTTGATGTTGCCGACGTCCACATGTGGTCTAGCGCCGCCACTGGTGACCACCATAACCTATAAACTCTCGCAATACAAAAAATATCACTCGCGGCGTTGCCTACCCTGTTCCATTAATCACGTGAGTTTCGGAACGGGTAGAAGGGGTCCATAAAAAATCACGATATATCACAACCTTGGATAGTAATATATCACGTGTATTTCCGTGGTCCGAGGATACTGTACAATAAATAATGTTCATGTATGTAGGTACTAAAAATACACATGGGGGGTGAGGGGTAGTCTTTTTTTCTAACATTTTAAATATTGATACAATTTTTCCTGACTATTTTAATAATAAATAGATAAGTAGTGGTATTTTTTGTGACATTGTATATTATTATTAACTTTAAATTAATTTTATTTATTTAGACGACACTGAACCATATTAATGTAAATTTCCTGAAATATTTGCACGTTGACATTCAACAAAATATGCTGGAAACTAAAGAAATAAATAAAAAGTAACAACTATTGTAACCATATTTTGGCAAATATATTATTATTATTATTATTATAAGCGGGAGGGTTAATAAAAGTTCAAAAAAACATCACGTGATTAATGGACGGCCCCAAAGGCTGAATTTTGTAAGTAAAATGTTGATTTAACTTACGGGTGAACCGGTGATAGCGTTGAGTGGTGCTCGCAAATGTCTAGTGGGTCCGTGGTAAGTGTTGTGCGCGAAACCGTAGCCTTCGTACAGCGTCGAACTTAGAGGTTCGGATTCGACTTCCGGCCTGGAAATAAAAAACAATGCACAACTTTTAATTAGGACGTAAAATACGTACAGTCAAATAATTACTTAGACTAAGTACCGAAGGCAATGCAAGAGGCGGCACTATTAGGATTGGTAGCGGCAGACTTCTTGAGTAAAACCATAGACAAAAAAACTTGCGCAGTAGACGTTTTTGTATGTAAAATTGCTGGCTCCGTTGTCCACAGTTAATGCTAGGGATGGGCAAACTACAGACCGAGGGCCATCCCCTAACCTCGAATGGTTGAAATGGGGCCAATCGCCTAACGGGATTGCTAAGGCTATCGCTTATGATTTCATTTTGTGATTCAAATACCTCACGCTCATTTTCTTTAATAGTGTTATTACCAATACAAATGAAAAAGAGCGCAAGGCATTTTGCAAGCGCAGGAAACCGTTCAGCGGTCAGAAGTTAGGCGATTGGCTATCCGGCTCGTGACCCTCAAAGAAAAATCAAAGTTTCTCATAAAAAAGTCACAAAGTCTCGCTTGTACGTCTGTCAGTATAAATGGATCACCTGTGTGGTTGCAGCGACGGATGCAGGGGAGTGACATTAGACACTCGCACATCATAAACCACCGCCGAGCAATGCCGGCTTATTGTGCAATACCCGCTATATTACACTCGCTTGTATGTCAGTATAAATGGGTCACCTGTGTGGTTGCAGCGTCGGATGCAGGGGAATGACATTGGTCACTCTCACATCATAATCCACCGCCGAGCAATGCAAGCTTATTGTGCAATACCCGCTATATTACACTCGCTTGTATTTCTGTTAGTATAAATGAGTCACCTGTGTGGTTGCAGCGTCGGATGCAGGGGAGTGACATTGGACACTCGCACATCATAACCGGCTGCTACACCGCCAAGCAACGCCGCCATATTGTACAATACCAGCTCTATTATACTTGGCTTCTTGTATTTGTAACCTGTGAATTGGTTAAAAATGTATTAAAATAAAAATCAAATTTTTTTAGTCTTATGAAGACTTATTATTAATAAAAACACAATAAAAAGAATATTCAATGTACAGTATTGACTTCCATTTTATTATATGTATAGATTACACTGGAGTACATACCTTCTGTACTATATAAGGTGGGCATAGGTATCGTATATCTGGACGACGTGCTCAAAGGATACTCTGGGCCCCATTCCTCCGGACTGAAGTCTGTGTAAGGAAGAAAACAACCTATGTGAATGGAAACATAGGCGCGTTAGTGTGAACATGTGTGCGTGCGGTGATAACGGTCAATGCTTAGGCTGTATTTTTGATGGCCCAATAAAATATGAGTATATTTAAACTTTAGTGCATTGAGTTAAGACACAACATATATTGTATTAAACACGTGTGAATTCATTTCATATACTGATTAGCACTGGAGTGGTTGGAAATTTATAATTTCGAATAAAGACTAATTTGGAAAATATGAGCACATTTTATTTACAAGTCTACAGAGTGGCGTTAATGACGTTATTAACAGATAGAAAATAGAGAATTACTAAGATATCAAAATTACAGCCTTAGAACAAAATAGGCATATATGAAATATTTATCAATAATAATGTATTTTTATACACTGTTGGAAATGAGTATTTATAACAACAAACAAAAGTAAATGCATACTTATCAAAACAGTGTATACTTATTATAAACAGCAAACACAACTAGAAGAACATTAAATAATTTCAAAAGAACGCATCCACAAAGTTTTTCTACATGCAATAAAGAGTGCAAATTTAAAAAAAATATAAGTCTACACATGCCAAACAGTTCATTCATAACAAAGTAAGCAAACATGAAAAGTGTATAACAAGAATCTAACATACTTACATGTGAATATTGCAACTCGAGATGGCATCACTTAAAAACTGTTTATTTATTTATTTTCCTTTTTGGTTAATGTAAATTTTGTTATTGTTTTATTCCCTGTATTTTCCTTGCCCTATTAGATGTCGCCAGTGAGATGAAGCATAAGCAGTTTTTTAATACTTCTTTTTCGAAATTCACCCTTCACCAATTTCATCAATTGAATTATTCTGTTTTATTATCCAATTATTTCACTTTTGACTTTTGGCTCTTTTTGTTATTTTGTTTGTAATTTCTGTAAGTTTTCCTATCGTTTTAGGGTATATTAGTAACTGTTAGATTAGTAGAACCCATGTTAAAAAAATACACCAGCTTGATTTTATGGAAAAGGTTTATTTGATATATAAAAAAGGATCTACGTATATAACTATATAGAACCAGATCACCAAAGAGCATCTATAGTAGTTCGTTCTCTTTACAAAGTGAAAGCAGAGCCGTTTAACGCTCTTTTAAAAAAAAAGATCACATATTTTTGACATTTCTGAGCCTCTTGTATGATTGTAATACTATTCCACCACCATTGTACCAGGAACATTGTTACTGCCAAATGTTACAGCGGGTTTCGTCTTTTATAAAAAAATAGTTCACTACAGTCTAAGCTTTGGAAGTCTATGTGACTGTACAGAATTTTGTTTGAGCGCTGATTTGCTTCGTTTGAGTAACAGATTAATATTAACTTATTTAATAATTAAATGGACACAACAATAAACATACTAAGCGCCTGTATCACATAGACTTCCCCATATACATCTGATATTAGAAAGAACATCATTGTAAACATTTGAAAGCGTGCCATATGACGTGTGAAAAACAAAGCAAAGATCATACAAACTAACAAATAAGTAAGTACAACAAATACATAATATATAATAATGTCTTACATTGTGTCGTATATAGCATATACTATGAACTGCTAAGCATGCATAGCAACTTATCTTTAATTAGTAAAATAAAAGAAAAAAAAATCTGGCTGAAAGCAAACAAATGCTTACAATTTACATTACAAAAATAACGTGTCAAAAATATAATAATAAAATTACAGCAAAACAAACGTCACAAACTCTACAAATCAACTACTTCGAACAAAACGCACAAATTTCTCTTTTGAGTATCACACATAAAAAATTAACAATAATTTTTACAATCAATTCCATAACTATGTATCTACTACAAATAAAATCTAGACTTAGCTTAAAAAATTATCTTGAGATATTTAAAAATTAAGACAAATATTTTGTGACAAAGATTATAAACACGCTTGAAATAAAAATAGTGGAACGGAAAACTTTCAAATATGGCAATATTAAAAAAAAATATATGAGAGCTGAACGAAATAAAAATAGGCAAAAGAGCGTGTTTATTTTGTAAACAAAACATGTTATACTTACAAGGATACAGAAGATTATCCTGAGAGGTTCCTTTAAAGCAGCATGAAAGTATAATCTATTATAATAAAACTACAATACAACATAGTTTCCTCACTAATTATTCTAAACAATTTACTAAAACCATTTGTTGATTAGGCAACAAAGAAATCGAAATGTAAAATTATCAGCTGCTTTTTCTACTTTTTCGAAGTTTGTTTTTTTTTGTAGCAGATTTTTTACAAGTCGAGTTGAGTGTTGCCAGTTTTGTGTATGTGTTTTTAATACAATTTGGCAAGATCCTAATAATTCTTCAGTCGATATAGAATTAAGTCTTTAGAAATTAAAATTACTATAAAATTTACTAGTATCGTGAATTTATTAAAGGAAATTTATTTAAAATTTTAATATGACATTCTACAAGGATATCTAAAAGAAATATGTTTAGATGTTATATTCTCACTATAACACCATTTTCTTTAATTCCTACTCGTAGTGAATGCTTAAAATTTCCTTATATTTTTTATATATTAAAATAAGGCATACTACAACAGCTATGCAAATTCAATTCCTATTGTTTATATCTACACCAAGACATGAATTGTATTTCGTGATCGAAATATAAATTAACATTTGAACCACGAATTTTGAATGTGATAATGGGTTTAAAAAATATTTAATTCATTACTTTAGCTCAGTGGTTCATTAGGACGAATAAAACATACTTTTACTAGTAAATTATCACGACACTGCTACCCCTAAAATATAAATCTAAAAGTAAGTCTTTTTATATATTTTCGTTTTCAATTCCCTTAAACGCTTAACTTAAACTAAGAAATCCTTGGAACTTTACACAATATTCTAAACTTAAATAAATGCTTATCGGGGAGAGTAGTTTTTAGAGAAATCAGTGAACAGATTACCGAAGACCGAATTGTAATAACGAGAAATTGTAAATTAACAAGGAAAATAGAAAAGGAGAGCAATGAGATGCACCCGAAAATAAAAATTCGACGGTAAAATTAGATTAATAAAGAAACAAAAGTGTCTACACTCCACGAGGAATGTTAGTAAAATGATATGTATTCAAAAAAATATGGCAACACTTTTGTACATCGGTTCGAAACAACGCAGTTCATTCGTTCGCTATCTGCGTTTCGGATTCGCATTAAATCGGATTCAATCAAATAAGAAAAGGTTATAAAGCGCGTTTCGTGTTCGATCTACTATTCGTCTCGCAAGAGTTCGGTAGTTTCGGAACTTAGGTTACCCGCGACGGCAAGCAAGCCAGTGAGACTGTTAGACCGAAAGCTTTTCAGAAGCGTTTTTTTAACATCTTTCCGTGGCGGTACATCGAATACGGTATCATAGCGAGGTATGTCAGCCGTCGAAGTGAACATGGGGCATAGCAAGAATCTGTTGTTGCGCCTCGGTTCCATATTCTCGTATAAGTCGTCGTGGCTGCCGGTGCGTTTGCGCGCGAGTTCTGTAGACTGACGTACCTGAGACTTGGATTTTCTCGGGCGGTGTCGTTGGTTCGAAGGTGCAGGGACGGATCCAGGGGCGGGGGCGGGCGGTTTACCTGCGTGCGGGGGCCGGGTGGCGGGCGGCAGGTCGGGCGCGGACGATGAGAAGCGGGGCGCGTGACGGGCCCGAGCTAACGCGGGGAGGGGTAAGTGACCGCGCGATCGTTGGTGAACGCTGGAAGGGCCCCAGGTCTTGCCCTTCACGCCGTCCGCTGGCACTGCGGATAAAATGTCAGCGTCAACTTGTGTCAAAGACAAACGAGTTTTCTCATAGAGGTATAGGAATAGAGTAGGGGAGAATAGACTCTACTACAAATGGAAATGTCCCTCTAATAGAAAGAGAAAGAAGATGAGAGACTGCTAGTTTTTTCTCTCTAATAGCGCATGCGCATTGGCAACCGTGAGCATCTTACTATTTCGATGTGATGCTTGGACGAACTATTGGACAGAAGACTGCGCATGCGTTAGAAGAGAGAAAGAGATAGCTAGAGGTCTCTTATCTTATTTCTCTTTCTACTAGACGGACACTTTTAGAGTCGCCTTCCCCACGCTATTTTATACCTCTAGGATTTTTCTTCATTTGTAAATCTAGAAAAAATGTTACTAGGAAAAATTCCATTCAGTCCAGGTACCAAATAGGATACTAACCAGGAATGGAAGGTGCATAGACAGAGTGAATTTATTTCTAGTAAGTTTTTTTTAGAGACACTTATAATATTCAATAATTGAGATCTCTGAGTATGGTCGTTGGTGTACCACATCTAATATTTTTATTTGTAATTGTAATGAGCTGTAATAGGCCTCATGTTGACCCATGATCCTACCGGAGTGTTTTATATCATAGCGACTGTTTCTTTGACGCTGGACTCATCGCCGGATAGCCGCCCCGTCAAAGTCGGCCCGAAGGTCGACATATTGTTATGTTAAGTAATAATAGTTCTTTATCTAAAAGAGCTTGATGGCGCAAGTGGTTAGCGCCTTCGGACTGTGATCTTTGAAGTAAAGCAACTTTCGTAATGGCCAGCCATTGGATGGGTGACCACGAGCTTATCATCTCGAGGCCCTCTGTGCATAGGAAGGCACGTTTAGCCCCGTTTGGTCCCGGCTGTATCTGCAGTCGTTAGTCGAGCCGTCCTGGTCCCGCATGGTGGGTCATGGCAGAATCTCTCTCTATTCCCATACTCTTATGGAAAGACTTGTATCCCAGCAGTCGGGGCATTAATAGGCAAAAAATTATGATGATGATGAAAAAATAATTGAGTCATTATATTGTTATTTTAAGCACTTCGTGACGTGACACGGGCTAGTGTGGATGTGCCGACTCTTAAAACGGAGTGATTACTTGCTTAGTGGATCGAGCCGCTGCCACCGACTTAACATCATCTAGCTTGGTGGAAATTCTTCCCCCTTGGCCTTCCTAAAATAGTACTTATATACAACATACACAAAGTCAATATTATAATATTTAGTCTATACTCTATTAAATTTCCTTTGAGCCAAAATATAAACAACCCAATGTTACCAAAACTTTTTTATCAAGAGTAAAGATGGCCGGTGCAACCAGACTAATTACAAAATTTCACATTCATGACGAATGTCATTGTTTTTACTTATTTGGCAATACTGTCATTATTACATCAAATCACACTCACGAGCTATAGCCCTCATGATGGCCGGCGATCCCGGTGGTGTATCTTTAGCGACGGCAACCAGTTGTTTAACGCTGGACTCGTCGTCCGAAGGCCGCACCGTCAGCGTGTGCCGAAAGTCCAGCGGCGAAGATATAGTGTCCTTCTTAACCAGCTTCATTTTGCTGAATTTTCCTGCGGAAACACGCTCGTGGTGAAGATAAAGTAAAGTTACAAGATAAAGTAGAACCACGATAACTTTGCAGTCAATAATCTGGTCACTACAAAAAAACTTAATCTGGCAGCCCTTTTAAGACGTCATTCAAAAATGTCATAAATGTCATGTCATGCATGAATCTTTCGTTTGCAGAACAGTTTTTGTTTTTTTTGTTTGTGTAGTGATTAAAAGAGAGAAAATTGGAGTCGGAGCAGTTACTTATTAAATAATAAATATGCAAAAGATCAAATGGAGTCGGTTATTATGAAAAAGAGCAATATTATGAAGAAATCCTAACCTCAGCGAGTGAGTTGCAATTAGTTTAAATCTGAAGAAAATATAACTAGAAAAAATTCCACGCGGACCAGGCAGCAGACGGGACTCGAACTCGACTCCCTTCGCAATCCGGGCGAATGCACTGACCAATTATGCTACCGCGGCCCTCACGGACCGCGACGAAATTCTTCTAGCCATTCTTAAGCTGCAAGGCAGCGCCATCTCTTCGCATTATAGGTAACCCACAATAAACATCAAGCAGTTACATGCTTTAAAATAATAAAAAATATATATATAATTGCAATTAGTTTCTTGATATTGTACCTATTGCTATTTTTTATTTACATTTCAAACAATTACATTCTATAAATTCCTATTTATTACAATTTTGTTTTTACATATAGTTAGATAATAAACTATTATTTTAATTGTGGATGAACACTGAAAAAAAAAAGTTCATAAAACAAATTAATTTGCAGTAGTAATTGTATTCACAACAGTTTTGCATTACACTAATTGAAAAATTGTTTTCTTATAGGTACTTTATCTGCAGATGTTCTTATAACGTATCGTAGTTGTCAACTTTTGAGAAAATTTCATTTTCTTTTTTTTTATACCTAATGGTAAAATAAGAATCATCGAAATCCAGCTCGGATATACATAATTATGTAGTCCAGTCAATCAAGGTTTTCACCTCCGATTTCGTTGAATATCCATCGATTTTCATGAAAATTGGCGAGTAGGTAGTAGGGGAAAACCTTAAGAAACAAAAGTGATATATTGCCAACTTGCGCTTTTGCCCTGGGGGTAGATGCCACCCCTTCTCGGGGATGAAAATTATTTTAATAAAAACAACTCCAGGAATCGATAGTAAGACAGATTCTAAGCAAAATTTGTTATATAAAGTTTTTAGAATAAATCAATACTTTCTGAGTTATTAAAGAATGTATAGCAATTATTATTATTATTTGCTCTTAGCTGGAATGCATTATCTGTTTTATTTTTCTTAAAAGAACGAAACAGAATATATGTACTGTAATATACTAATTCAAGGGTTTCCTAGGTTCGTCTCCCATAGTACTCAAAAGATCGTCACCTAAATATGGGACCATCCAATATTGTCTCACAGATTAAAAAACAGCCTATAGGTGATTTTCGCTTAGCGACAAATGAAGAGCGTCAACATGAGATTTTATGTTGATTGCTGTTTACTGCATTCATATAAAAATTACGACCGAGATAAAAAATATTTATTGTTGTGTTGTTACTTTACATTTAAGTTGTGATACTTTAACCTTTAAAACAAGTTTTATTAATAGATTTCGTACGGAGAATGGCAATGATATAATGCTTTTAATTTGATTCGGATGTGTTTTTATTCCTTGCCTTATCTAAATTAGAAACAACTTCGTTATACGTGTATGTGGCTAAGAAAGATAATATTATAAAATATCTAAATTAGTTAAAAAACTCGTTTAATGTTGCAAGTAGTTTTATAATTAATTATTTAACAATAACGATTATATAAAAATACTGTATAATTTCGCAGAATACCTACATTTTGTTTCTCGATATCCACATATGAAATAACTATGACAGTCAAAATACTGTGCAACTTTTATTCTTACTACTAACGGTCAGTTTCAACAATCAAACTCCAGTAAAAGATAGGTCTATTAGTGTTTTGTTGCCGTGATATTTTCAATACTCAAGTTATAATAACAGTGTTGATAAGAAACGGAACCAGAGGCCCAAGAACGCCACGAACTTTGGCAGATCGGTAATCGTATCGTCATCGTCAAATTTTGTATGGAAGGACTCAGTTTGAGAGAGAGAGAAACTATGATATATTCATAGAAATTATGGCGATGTGATACGATTACGGAGTTGTCAATGTTCGTGCTATGGTCTCAGTTTATTCTGACTTTTTATTGGAGATTGATTATAGAAACTGGTACTACTCACAATTTCAATAAGACACATTTCAGTCTGTATCAACGAAAAAACTACATACCTTTTCTCTTATTAGGCTGCGGCGGTTGATTATGCGACATGTTACTGGCGAAGATCAATATATGCAACTCTCTTGCGACCAAGTCAATTTCCCTCATTTCTAATTCTCTTTCCTTCTGCGCTAGATTCTGTTCCATCAGTCTTTGCTGCAGCTGAGCTCTCGTCAACTCTTCTTCGCGACACCTAAGCTCCTATAAAGATGAAAAGGTTTGTCTGTACGTCTGAACTGAGCTCCGTTCCTCAAACCTCACTAAAACTAATTTTAAGTGTATGTTTTTTAATACAAATGAAAGGGTAACGCGTTACTCAACCTCACTAAAGTAAATATCAAGTACAGTACACGTTGAAAATAGGTGTGGTAAGAAGCAATGTGCGAAGATTACATTCGACTTTGTATCTTAAGAAAAACAAAACTAAAACTATTGGATTATTGAATGGGGCTGCTTATAATAGTTAAATAGATCTAATGCATACTTTTACTGTTTCATCGATTTTCATAATGATACCAACTCCTTAGCATGACCCAACACGCGGTATAACAGAGATATCGACATCGACTGTCAAACTACAATGGATTTTGAATGTTCAGTGTCGATAAAAAGCTTTATCGTATCATATAACGATTTTCGTGCTAGGGGGGCTGATATAAAAAAAATGAGCTCTCAATAAGGAGATATATTACATGTATTGAATTTTTGGTAACTTTTGATATTTCTATTGGTTATCTGAGGAGCTCGAAAGCTCAGAGGGCGCATTCATTGTCTTGCGATTGCTGTGACAAAGCAACTTTCGAAAGGACCAGTCACTGAATGGGTTATCAAAATATCAACAATCTCGAGTTCTTCAGTGCTTTGCATGCGTTATATTGAGCAAGTATAGTGAGTTATGGTCTATTTTTCTTAGATAATTGTTAAGAAAGGTTAAGCCATTAGCCTACCAGTAGTAATTTTAGTAGAAGAAAAGAATAGAATGTGCTGTACTTAAATTTAATTTAAGCGAATGTTGAGTCGATCTCTTCGTGTTATTATGGTCTACTGTGAAATCAAAGAAAATCATACGTACTTCACATTTCACACATTTTTTTTGTTATTTTAATCATTTGCACTTTCATTGCATTTTCACCTTATTTACGTTTATGAATTATTGTTTCAACGGTAAAATTTTGGGATAAAAAAACTCAAAAAAAAAAGATTCGGTGCCAGTTAGTTCATTGAACTAGTTTTCGTACAAGTAGTTGATGTACTATTTGTGGCAAGTGAACATTTCAACATGATTTTCCATAACGACGACGAAGCATAAATTATGCAAATGAATTTTTACTATTTTGTAACAAATGAATCGAGATCAGTTCTCGGAACTCATAAATAACAAGGAAACAAAACTAACAACATCAATGTCACTAACCTCTTCTATAGTTTTGCATTCCTATTAGCAAGCATTATAATGGAAAACAAATTTCCTCATTAGTACAATGGCATAGAAATAAAACAAACTTGAAGATGATAATATTTTAAAATCTTAAAAGTATCTGCGTAAGGTAGTTTCTTATAAATCAAGGATGGTAACAACAGTACAGTTAAAGGCGACAGGAATATAAATTAATAGTTTTAAAAAACACGCTTTTATTTACTGCACTAAAAGCCAAAATAAACAAAATATTTATTGTATATATATAACTGAAAACTATGTAAAACTAAAAGAAGCGTGGGGCACTTCATTATGCCTGGGGGCCTTCACTATTTCGTTACCAAAATCAATGGGAGGATTTGTTGCCCCAGGGTGAGTTTTACACTCTTGCGGAGTTTCAAGATGACAATATTTTACAAAATATATATAAGTGCATGTGGATAGTTCCATAGTAAATGATGGACAGTGACAACACTAGGGATGGTAATCAATGCCGATTATTCGAAATCAATTATTTAATCGAATTCGATTTCAATTAATCGATTAATTTTATTTATGACATAGAAAAATCGAAGGAAAACAGTTCCAGTTTTCATAAAAATAGATGTTACTCCTTAATATTTCCTATTCCTTTGTCCCATCAAGCATTAAAAAGGGAGAAAAATGACACGACTAGAACACAGTAAAAATAAAGCTCAATAAAGTAGTTTCTTATAAAAAAATAAACATTAAACATCTAGATATTTTTATTTTGAAAAATAAATACTGGGAAATTTTTAATGTCTTTTTTAATTACATAAAAATAGTTTAATTGTTGTATTGTTTGCAGTGTCTACAGATTAATGACCTTAATTAAAATTAAATATGTTGATTGCTTGTTTAAGTGATAGTAGACCTTTTAAAAATATCTATGATGGTGTTTTATGGCGTTCTCTAATGCTACTGCTATGTAAATGTGAGAGATGAGTCTGTTCTGTACCACTTTACTATTTATTATAGTATTTAACTTAAATCGCACATTGTCTGTATGACAGGACATTCCCAATTTATGTGTAAAATCTGTTTTTTTTTTTAATTAGTTTTATATTTCAAATCTAAATAGTCATTTTTTAATTATCGTCTCTGTTAACAATAAGACAGGGAAACAAGTACAGCCTCTGAGTTTCCTGCCTAAATTTATAAAACGTTATTGAATTTTGTCTTGATCAGTCTCAAATATAGATAAATTTAAATAGTTTATTAGAAAAACATAAAGTATACATTCAGCTAGCGATATTTAAAGTTAAAGATATAAACACCCCATATTACTGATATCAGTAATCAGTCACCACTCACTTTATATATCACTTTATGGACGTCATAAAGTTTGCGTCATATTCATTATTTTAAAGTATTCATTCTTTAAAAACTTCTTCTAAAATGAGCTATACATACATCAATACATATATTTTTCTTATAATATCGTAAATTAATTACCCATTTAAAATAATTCAGAGATTAGCATTAGATTAACAAGTATAAAAATAATTATCAGAGCTGTCAATGCTTGTTATGGGGACTTCCTAGGCGTGTTTCATGTTTAGGCTCTTTCTTTTTGTCTTTTTATCGATTAATCGACGTAAAATTATCGATTAGATCGATTATTTGAATTTATAGATTAATCGATTAATTCGCAAAATATAACACACAATTAATCGATTAATTGAATCGACATCGATCATCCCTGCACAGCACTGCAACCAAAACAGTCAATGGAGGGAATTTAAAAGCCATTTGCACTTGGAAGCATTGGAAAAATTAATAGTACTTTAAAATCTAATACAATAAAAATACCTAGAAATATATATGTACTACTTTCGCAAGTTGTAAACTCAAGACATCGTGCGATGGTTTTTTCATTATAACAAATGACTTCGATTGAGCAGCATTAGGCTGAAATCAGAATGTACTAATAGCAACTAACAAATAGCCTTCCTACCTTTTCTTTCCTCCTGAGATCCAATAAAACTTCTTCGATCTCTAGCCGCCAACCATCTTGCATGGTGTGGAAGGACTCGTGTGGTGCCCGAGTGAATTCCGATTGTCTTATGCACTCTAACTGCTCCAAGATTTCGGGGAACAGGGGTCTTTCGCGAGGATTCGACCGCCAGCATGCTGGCAACAAAAACACAAAAAAAGTTTAATTAATATCACTAAAGAATCGACTGTTTATAAGAAATCCAAAGCTTTGTAATAGCGATAATATAAAAATAAGCCGGGTCGCTAAGAGAACATTACACGCACTAACGTTTTAGTATTCGGGCGCAAGTGTGGCCACCTACCGAGGCATTATTAGAATCTATTATATTTGCCTTGCGCCCACGCACAATATTTGCTCACAAGTTCATATTGTGAAATGGTTTAGTAACGAATTGATTAACAGTACTATCTTTCAATTAATATTTCGGTGTTCAATCTTGTTAATAGAATTGACCAGGTATAAAAAAGTGTATGTGATATGGGGATTTGGTTTGTTATAAGAATAAGTTTTATTATGTGCTGTTTTTTATGAGTCCCCGATATTTCGCCACTTAAGAAATTGCAATGATAATGGAGTTTATTGTGGATAAGATGTTATTGGCAGACATATCAAACCAGTCTCCCTCTAACCAAGTCTTATAGTGCGTTCTATACCTGTACCAGTGTTGTGATTCATTAGTAAGATTATGAACACTGCCGAAATATCGGGGACTCGCAAAACCCGAGGTACATGGTAGTAAACCGCGGGTTAAGATGTTATTGGCTAAGTATATCTACCTTCTGACTAATGGCTCGATTACACTCTTGGTCGTTAGCCCGAATACGAGTGCCAATGGAATTCGGGTAAACGACCAATTGTAATTGCGGCATGAGATTATCAAAAACAATGGATACGTATTTTTTCTTTGGTCAATCTACCAAAAGCTGACGAAGAAAAAGCGCGTTAAAACTCGTGACGTCACCTTTAAATAAAAATTGTACCAAAACGTGACGTTATGCGACATTTCAAACCAATATATCACTGTAATGTTTTGATTATGTGAATAAAGAACAAATACGTGTCCCATATTTTTTGATAATATACCTGATAGACGAAGAAAAAAAAAGTTATTCGTCATCCCTATTACTATAAGGTTTGTGTAGTACTAGTTACCCTCCATCAGAACCCTCCATGGCTCCGGGCAGGTGCTCGGTATCGGCAGGGTCAGTTTGTTGACGGCGACCCCGTACGCCACGGCCAACGCGTCGATGCCCTTGTAGGGTGTCTCGCCAGTCAGCAACTCCCACAGTAGAACCCCGTAGGACCACACGTCAGACGCATGGGAGAAGGTGGAGTTTTTTATCACCTGCAACATTATGCAATTTCGTATGGTTGTACCATAGTTTAAGAGGATCAATGGACTTAGGGACAAACTTGCCAAAAATAGAAAGGGCTAGGCTTCAGAGCAGACAATACCAATACGAACTATTGACAGCCTGATCTTTGTCGCTCTCGCACTGATTTGCCCAGTTTTATGAACAATAGGGTATTTGACAGTATTAAAAATAAAGTGCCAATTGTTAGCATCTGTGTTTAGAATTAATATTGGCAGGGGATTTTACTATTTTTACAAAAAAATATTCATAATTTTCTAAAAACCTACGAAAAAGATAATAGTTTTCTTATCTATTGTCACGTGACCCAAAACCAAGCGGATTGGCGGAGCCTAAAATGACGACACACGCAAGTAAACTTCCGGTTAAAGTGACATTACATTGTATCGTTTGACGTTTTAATAACAGTCGTATACGTAAGACGCCATATTGTCCAGAGAAACGTTTTCGCAGAAACTTGAAAATGGAGTATTTGATTTGGTTAATTTTACTGAAATACACAACAGAATGATGAATATCCACTTTTTACGGACTCCATAAAGATTAATCAATAACGTGAGATCGTTTTGTAAAACTTTTCAAATACCCTATTGAAAAGGAAATGGCACGCTTATTCCATTATCTATGATTTTGAGACGTACTAAAGCTAAGAGTGCTTTTTCATACGCTTTTCATTGTTATATGAGTGGATTTTTAACAGAAACTGCAGGGATTTTTGTAGGAATATTGTATACTGTGGATTTTTTAAGGTATCGATTCAACCTTAGTGTAAAAAATTTGTGAGAGGTGGGACATAGTGGGTTTTCTAGAGAAGTAAACTGCACCATACAGAAAGTCACAATGAAAAAACATTACCTTATTTACCATTGTGATTCTGTCAGTAAAAAAGCTTCCAGGGAGTATAAGGAGGGATAAGGTGAGATAGGCACTGCACGAGTAATATTTGTGTATCGTATAGGCTATAGTGGTCGTTTACCATCATGCTGGTCATATTGTGGTTTGCCAGCCACCCTTTTATGACGTAAAAATAGAAAGTCTACTGCTACGTAAGTGACAATGTGACACGTTAATGCTTTTGGATTATATTGAAAAAAAAAATAACAACTAATTGTATTTCGTGCATTACAATGTATGATATGCATCGGTTCAATCAATGATGTGTTAGAAATTGACATTTTCAAAGCTCTCGTCCCACAGGCCTCGACAGCACAAGGCAAATGAATATTAATCGCGATTCATTTTCGAATCGATCGAAATCTGTGCCCACTCTGAAATGGCCATGAACTACAAAACGAATTAGCATCTAATTAATCATGATGACGATAACTATATGCTTTCAAGGTGTACTTTCATACTTTTTTTTTATATAGATAGGTCCGACACTCTCTCTCTCTCTCTTATACTCTCAATCTTACGATTATTATATTAACATATTTGGGATTCTAAAACAACGGAATACAAGGATTAAACAGCTGTTGTGGCCGTAACAGCTGGTACATTTTCCTCCCTCATTACAATATGCTGAATCATATTATAATTCAATCAGTCATATGATAACAATGAAAGACACTTTTAATACACATAACAATAACATACCAAACACTTATCAAAACTAAATCGACAATCTTTATCAGCAAAGATAAATAACAGCAAATTTCAAAAAACATTTTCCTCCTAACCCTTGGTAATACATAATTATTATTAAGTCACCGGCAATCTGTATAATGTTAGTTATTGTATACAATACCAAGGCAATCTATGAAAAAACCTGGTGCGTCTAGGCAATGTATGGAATATTATAAATATTATTTTCGATTTTATACTTTGCCTAGGTAATGTTTACAATTCCTAGGGTTTGTATAAAGTACCTGCTGTCCCACCGGGAGTGTGTTAAATAAACAGAAATAGCTTGTATTTATCCTAACCGAACTTAAAGTAGCCTACCCAGTTGCATAAATGACGGACGGATCTTATAATTGTCACTGAATGAATTCCAGACAAATGAACTTTTGACCAACTCACAGTTACACTCACACGGCTAGGCTAAATGTTAGTATTGTGACCTAAACTGAGCGCAAGACTGACCAAGCCGAGCTAGCAAAGCGAGCGTGCCGCAGCAGCGGCCAGGGTGGAACAAAGTTCGCCGGGTCACCTGGTAGATAAATAAAACAAGGAAAAGTCGACGCGCTATTTTCTCTTGCACAAATTGCCGGCTGCGCATTCGGTGTTGTATAATAGTATATAATGCCGAATTATACAGAGTGCCGGAAACACATTCAAATTACAAAAGGATTTTAGTGGTTAATTGATCCATCACTGAGAAAATTAAAGCAAATAATATTTTTAATCAGATGCTATAGTGGCGAAGTGCGTCCATAATTTGAATAATTTTAGTGGGGTTTTCTATTAGGACTCAATTTTGGAATGACAAAGAAGCATACTTTTTATATTTTAATAGAAATCAGTTGTTTTTACTTTATATTTCACATTTAATGTTTGCAGAAAGCGTACATATGTATCGCAGACGCTGTCGTGCCTCAAATGCGATTCCTATCGATTATCCAAATTTGCTTTATGTTAACTTGATAAAGATATTTAATTCTAATGTTATTTATTTACAGACAATATTACCTCTGGTGGCATCCAGGCGTACGTCCCAGCTGCTGACATCCTCGTGGTCTTGTAAACTTCTCGGGCCAATCCAAAGTCTGTGATTTTGAGCGTCTTGTTTTCGAGAGTATCGTCCGATAAGATTGTTTCACTCAGGAGCACTGTGAAAAAAAAACACTTAGTTAAAAAAGAACAGGAACATGAAAAAAAAACTATTGTAAAATATTTTGATAAGGGATTGGTGATCGTAACATTACATAAAGTCCGTAAAAATGCAGTCACGTAATTTGGCATGTCGTGTGTGTTTAATTGCTCTCAAATTGTTAGATTAGACTGCACATGACCTGCAAGCGTACCTACGGGGGTGTCGTAGGAGTTCGAGACCGCAAACTAACCAATCTGAATTTCAATTTATTATTTACATATAGGCGTATGTCCTTAATATGCATAATGAAAAAAATATATAAGCAATGAACACATTTGTTTCTTAATATAGTTTGGGATTGGGATACAGTAATAAACAATTTAAGAGATATTACTTGCAGAATTTTCAGAAATAATGATTATAATGCATATTCTCACAATGATGACCATATACTTGAACATGGTAACATTAAATACAGGTATGTCTTTATATTATAGCTTTAACAAAAACGCATAAGAAAACATTAATGATTTAAATCTAAAGAACAACCGAATTTGGAAATACACCTGTTACTTTCATAAGCACCGCAATTCAATTTCTCACTGCTAACGTGACGTGACTGGAGTTATTTAAACGATTAAGGACGGTTCCCATACGGTACATTTGCGAAGTTTTTATTGAATGTTCATTTTCAATTCTGTTTCGTTAAATTTCATGAAACCATTCGAATAGATTTTAACGGTCAAACCTCTGCTAGAATACCAGCGACACAGCGGCGCTGGTGTGGATTCTGTGGCAATATATTATTTTAAGGCAGGGATCTAGTGGACTTTCTTCTTATTATTATTTATGATATAAAATGTGTGCTGTTGTTGACGTTACCATTTATCCCTTCAATAATAGCTTGTCGATTATACCGCTACCCCTTTATTAATAAACTAAGAATTAGCTTGGATTATTTACACCATGTTTTGACTCTGTTTATTGAATTACAAATAGCATTTGAGTGATATGAGCAAAACTAAGTTAGTCGTCTACTAGTATAACTTTATTCCTCGTTTGTTAATAGGCGGTTAGTGCATAGCCCAATGCACCTAATATTGCAGACATCTTTAAGTCATGTTATGATGACTTCAACTGGTTGCCATCCGGTGCTTGTTATGGCTAACACAACCCTTCATGGAAATTCCTCGTTTTTATTTAAAATGAAATAAGCATTGTGCCTGTGTAACTAAACCTTAAAAAGATTTCCGATTCCGATTTTCTTAGAGGATGACCCTCCAAGAAAATCTGGTAAGAGTAACCATTATGACAATAAACATAAAAAAATAAAAACAACGAACGTTGTTTAAAAAGTCTTCGTCAGAGTCCGATTTGTTCAGATTAAAGAGAAGTAAGTAAAGGACATTGCTCGTTCCCCATACATTGAATGCCCTAGAACGCACAGCGATGCGAAAATGCTAGTTGTGTTCGGAATTATTCATAAACTCTAATTAGGCATTTGTTTAGATACGGACAACTTGAGGAACCGTGGCCTACTACAAAATGTATTAGATTTTGGAGCTTATAATTATTATACTTTATCGTAAAAGAAGTACACTTTATATATTCTGAATAGATTTAGTGTTTACCTCTATGTAAGCACTTAAATAATATGCATTAAAATGAACATAAAATGCAATTAATAATAAAAATAATATATGCTTATATTCATATTGATTTATGAGTGTTGGTAGGTGGCACCTATGATACCTATACCTACCTGTTGTAATAAAAGATTTATTTTCTAATGAAATGTTCAAAGTCTTTCCATTTACCTGTATATTTTACTATCGGTAATAAGGTATGTACCTGGTTATCATTATGATTTTCATAAAAATAAACAGATATTATATGGGATGGGAGTATAAACTATCTTTACATAATTTCAGAAATAATCTTTTTTTAAATATAATATAAATACTAGTGACAAGTATTATTAACTAAGGTACCTAGTTCTATTCTTATGTTGATAAATACTTATGGTCGCCTATATTGCAAATATCAATCTTGGCACAACTTTTTAACAAAATCACCCATTTAAAAATAAAAGAATAACGAAGCCAATACACTATTAAAATAAATCGTTATTATAGAATAAGACATATTGACTGGATTCAATAGGTCTTATTAAATACAGCATTAAAAATCAACTATTTTCAAAAAAAGGAGTACCAAGATTGTTTACCAAATAGGACAAGTTAAGATGAACAGACTGTAGTATCTAGTAATAGAACTTTTATTTTTTTAAACAGATTGTACTATGATTAATTGCTAAAAAATTAAAAAAATAATAGTGAAGGACATTCTTTTGGGCATGCTGAGTGCTAGGGCCGATTTCGTCGATGTCCTTTGATTGAATCCTCGAATGATGAACATAAACAATTTTAGCACTTTATTATATTTACTAGTACATTTTAGGAATTCAACTGCAAGATTTGTATAAACTTAGATCTAAATAAATTTTCCAATAGGCTTTGATTCTAAATTATGGTATGTGAAATGAAAAGAGTTCAGATAATCTGGTTTTGTATCTTAACAATAGATGCTTTCTTATTATAGTTTATCATAAAAATATTTGAGCAACAAAACTCGAGTAAGTCTACCTTTTACTAGTTTAATTATTGAAACTGGCCGTAAATGATAATGTGAGTATGCCTACGGATATCTATGTAGAATTTAATTTATATACTTTGGACATTCCGAAAAGTTGTAATGTTTGCTAGCAATGAAACTGCGCTACTCCAAATATTAGCATTTTACTCAAGTACTTACGATTTTGTGGTTTGGGTTACCCCACAAAATGTGCGTACAACGACCATTACATCCATAAGATTTGCATATTAAGAGACGCACACCCGCCATCAGATATTCAATTGACGGGCTTGATACCTCACACGTCTTGTCGTCTCTGCAGCCGCGATTCATACGTCGATCAGTCATTGCACAAAGGGACATGTTTACGCCGCACATTCGACGACTGGCATATTGGCACTAACTGTCAATGATCAACGATATTTTTAGAGTTCCGTACCCAAGACGCGGCAGAATCCTAAAACGGGGATCCCACGGTTTCGCTCTTAGCAGCTTAGAGGGTATTCGCAGGGTTTTTAGCGGATATTATGCCGTAAAGCGTCCGTAAGAGTTACGGGGTCCTCAGTGGGCAGCCACTGCTGGGGCCCGTAAGGCTTGCGGGAGCTAGGTGTGAGATCCGTTCGGCGGTGTGCCTGTTAAAGGCGCCGTCGTCTGTTAATATAGATTTTGCCTGCACCACAAAAAAGGAAAAAAGGGTTCCGTACCCATAGGGTAAAATCGGGACCCTATTACTAAGACTCCACTGTCCGTCTGTCAATCATCAGGCTGTATCTCATGATCCGTGATAGCAAGACCGTTAATTTTTTGTTCAATTATGTATTTGTGTTGGCGTTTCATTTAGAATTAAATAAATATTTAAGCGGTCGATACAACATTAGACACTATACGAGCAAAAACGGCAAAAATCACGTTTGTTGTATGGGCTCCCATATACCAAAAAAATGTTGTATGAAATGTTGCAGTGATAATGGTACGGAACTCGACGTGCACGAGTCCGTCTCGCACTTGGCCGGTAATTTTTTTGGCAAAGATGCTTGTATAATGGTTAGCTTACAGTCAGTTATAATAATTAATAATAATGATGAAGACTTTCGTTTCGATATGTTTCCTTCGGGCAACATTAATCAATAACAGTACTTGTGTACGCTACTTTATTTATTCGAACTGCCTAGTTTCGTGTTGCTAGCTAGTCTTGAGTGGGTAGACATTGGAACTTTGTGGCACGCGACTACTTTGTTTCACCGTAAAGAAATGTAAAATTCACAAGGGTTCAGTAGTTTTACTCTCGCCCCTCAACAGGATATATTGCTTTCGATTTGTTTTATGTTGCTTGTATCCTATAACAAGTTACATGAAAATCAATAGCCTGTTTCTGATAAAAGCTGACAAAGCGTTTTAAAGTGACTGGTTAAAAAATAGCGACTAAAATGTAGTTACTCATTCGTACCTACAATATTGAATTCTCCATCCCGGCTTTGATCTGGGTATCTTCGATATTTATCCATTCCATGCATTCTGATTTTTTAAACATAGCTTCAATATAATAGTCGCAGTGAAGCCTTTGGTTAAGAAAATAAGCCACTTATACCAGTAATACCAAGTACGGACTTATGTGATGTATTTGTTGTATTTAAGATTTATTAAAAAGAGCAATTGAGTGAAACAACTTAACTCGGAAGGAATCCATTAGGCTACAGTAATTTTAAGTGGATGTCGCTGCTCATATAAAGCACATGGCTCCTCGGAGCTCTGTATTGAATTATTCAGCAGATGGACGCCACGGGAAGTGGAGGAAGTACAGCCATCCGGACAGGACATAGATCCGGTTCCTCTCCATCTTCCGATAGCGAAATGTTTTTGGTTTTTTACACGATTGCTTTCTTTTTATTTTCCCAGACTCAATTATTAAATTGTAATAATCTTGTAACATACAAGTATCGAATGGATCCCTCTGATACGCCTCACAAATTTGAAATTTCTAGGTTTTACCATTGACACGACTTTAAGTTGGACAACTCACGTTAATAACCTAACAGGTCGACTTAGAAAACTTACTGCTATTTTTAGAAAGCTAAGGGCTTCAGCGGATTCTCAAACATTAATGAGAGTGTATACTACGCTCTCATCCAAAGTACACTATAATATTGTATTGTAGTGTGGGGTTGTATTGGGAAAGGTATCTTACTCCCAGAGCGTGCACAGAGGGCTATACTGAAAATCATATATAAAAAACTTCGAAAATACAGCACTTCTCTTCTATATAGGGAAAGTTCTGTACTTACAGTTGGGCAATTATATACCAATACCCTATTGATATAGTATAATACTTTGCAAATTTCTTCGCTACTAATTCTGATTTCTGTGCTACAGAGTTTCGAAACA